GAGCCAATCGCAGCCCGATAGGTGGGAACTTTACGGACTAAGGCTGTTTGAAAGGTTTTCTTCTATAAAATTAACCGATTCTAGACTAATTCGACTCAACATTTCCAAAACACGTATAATTTTTTGGGAATAATCCGTATAAACTATGCTATAAACAAAAAATTGTAGGATTACTTACCGAGTTTGCACCGTTCGACTACGCCGTTGCTTACGTTTGTTTTCGTCGCGGAGCGGCGCACCAAACTGCGGCCGCGTTTCCTGATAAATTATTTTTCTGCGAAAACTTCGTTGAACTCTGGAGACATCATTAATATAAATAATTTTTATGGCCGTTGAATAAGAAATGTTTCTTTCACAAGAAATGTATAAAATTAGTGCTGTATTAGACTTACGGTACTTAATTTACATACTGTACAGACGATAGTAAACTCAACTTACTCGCCTAAACTCTCCGTAGCGTGGCGCTAGACGGCGGAAAGTAGTTCGGCTGCTCATCCACTATTGGTCCAGATTCGACCAATCTTGTCGCGACACGAGTCGGCGACGACATTTTACGAGTCCCTTTATACGAATACTGCCGCAATTTTTTCGCTACGTTATAGGAATTTCCGTTATAGGAACCCACGTTATAGGGGGGTCGACTGTACAAGTTCAGTAGTAAGATATCAAACTGAAATTAATCGATTTCCTTTCTTCTTCGATGTTGTTTATATGGAGATTTTAGCTGTATAGGCTCTTTCTCCGACTAGACATGTGTTTATGATCGCTATGCGACCGATGAGCCAGCCGTATCCGAACGGCGTATACGCGCGCGCGGGAAATAATGCCTTCCGGGAGAATTAGCCTCCTATTCAGTCGTTATTGGCAAGGAGAAAACCCGGAAAACTCCAAGCAGCCAGCCTGTCCGATCGTGGCGCGAACCCACGACGAACTTCCCAGTGTTTAGGGTCCAGTCACCACCGCTATGAGCGGCAACGGAGACCACTCGGCCACTGCTGGGCCAATCGATTTTAATTACAATATTTTACTTTAAACACTTGCATGCACAATGGAGAGCAACTGGAGTGAACGTTAGTAACCGAACCACATGCCGAAGGTTGCACGACTTGCACTTCAACTTCCGTGTTCTCAAGATGAAGCCATCTCTAACGAAAAAACCAGGGCTGTGGAGTCGGAGTCGGAGTCGGCAAAAAATCCGCCGACTCTGACTCCCTTTTACTTATCAACTTGTTATGTATATGAAACAGAGTCGGATGGTAAGGAAAAGTCGGAGTCGGAGTCGGTAGATTTTTACACGACTCCACAGCCCTGGAAAAAACAACGACAAGAGAGTGTCAGATGGTGGAAACAGAGACTCGTGTGGAACAAGACAACTGAAATAACGTTTTCTTCAGGGACAAATCCCTGTTTTGTCTCTCCTGTGCTGACCAAGGTCTACGTGTATGGAGAACAACCAAAGAGGTCTTTAAAATGGACTGTATGAAGAGATCTGAAGTTTGCATCATCTGTCACGATCTGGGGATGAACATCGTCTGTTTACGATATTATCCATAAATGTTTAAATAATCGTTATTTTAATAAAATTCGCCAGAATTTTAACCCCAAGCACAAAAAAATGAAGAAGTTTAAACCGATCTTCTACTCGCCACGCTAGACGTAGCAAACGCCATTATCAATCTTCTACAATTGCTAGATGCCTGCGCGGCCGCAACCTGTCCAATAATATACAGTACTGAATTTTATTACATACTAGCTGTACCCGGCCGCGCGTTGCTGTGGATCAAAATGTATCTATTATAAATGTATAACACTCCCTGCACGAGGGAATTTCGAAAAATACCTTAGTGTACATTCTCTCGACGTACCCTATTAAAACGCAATCAAAAACGCAAAAAACCGCATCTGAAATAGTATAATAGAAGCCAAGTTCTTCACGGTAAGCTTTAATTTTGTTCCTCTCCCCCGCGGGGGAATTTCGACATCTATATAATTTAAAAACGCGCGTATTCGAATGCAACGTTGTTTCAAAATTTCAAAGCAATCTGTTAAGAACTTTCGGAGATTTAAGATTTTGAACAAACGAACATTTACATTTTTATTTATATAGATATGAAATTATTACAAAAGTTGCTTCTAGCCCTTGATATAATTATAATTATTAAATTATCAACAACCGTGAGGCAGATAATTTAATTAATATAATTATATAGATATGTTACTGTGAAAGACCGATATCTGGCAAATGTCGAGATTCTCCGGTGAATGTCAGCATTCACACAGTCGTTTCGTGTATGTACGAAATATTTGCTAAATATCATTATTTCTCACTTACACCGGCAAATGTCGACATTCGGCATGCGCTGGTGGTAAATGTTGAATAAAAATATTTTTATTACGTTAAGACAAAAATGCAACCTTATAATATGTCAAAACAGGAGAAAGCTTAAGTAACAGCGCATGTAAATAATCTGTTGAACCTAAAACAAACAGTATATTCTTGATCAGAAAAGAAAAATAATACGCAATAGTAAACTCTCTAATTTTGGTCTTTCACGGTAACATATGTTATATATATATATAATACTGTATATATTCGCTATTCGTTATAATATTCGTTTAATAAATTCCTATTAAAAATAAAAATAATATTATACTGAATTTATTGTTAATTTAAATAATAGCTAAGGGCGCCCATAGTGGGCGTTCCAAATTCCGAACGTTTTTAACGAAACTGAATTCCAAGTAAATTTGTCTCACGTGATGAGATATTTGAAATTAAAAAAAATCGATTTTGGAACACTTTAGAATTCGTCAGACTTCGGAGTCGAGAAAATGGGGAACGCACATGAGAATAAGAATAAGAAAGGAAATGAGAATAAGAAAGGAAAGGAAATAGAGAGCTGTGAGAATAAGAAAGGAAATGAAGGCTCTAAGAGAAAAGAGAAAGAAAGGAATGAAGAAGGAAATGTAAGGGAAATAGATAAATTCAGCAAAGTCAACATCCAGATAACATATCCCCAAAAGAAAGAGGTAGATATTTCGATAAATGTTAAAGAACGCTGTCGTCGTCGCCGCGGTGGGCGCAAGCGCACAAACCGCGACGACGACGAAGGTAAAGTGAAATGTAAAAAAAGAAAAAATTAAATACTTTATGTAACATCAGTTTAGATTCCGAAGCCTCTTCAGAGCCACAACAGGCTCTTTTCAGAGCCAGTTTATCATTTAAAGAGGAGTCAAATCGTAACAAATATTAAAACTAACTTCCGAAATATAATTTGTTTTCTTTTTACATTTATTAATATATATGTATTATCTTCACAAAATAATAAAATAATTTCAGACGATACAATAGCCACGATTCATTTTTAAAAAACGGCAAAAATTCAACCCGGAGCGACACGCGACGGGGAGAAATTTCGAAATTGGATAGATTAATTTCATGAATCATGAAATTAATTCATGGAACTCGCGAATCAGAGAAATTTTATATCAACAAGCAAATTTAATTTGGCATTTTTATCACTGATATCTGTTCGGTCGGTTAATTTTTAAATTTCACCGAAATTAACTCATATATATAACTTATGTAAATTAATCTATAAATACAGTAGAACCTCGATTATCCGGACTAATTGGGGATGAAGGTAGTCCGGATAATGAAAAATCCGGATAATCGAAACAAATACTTTAATTTGTCTTTTAAAGATAATACAACACGTTTTCTTTTCGATGACATATCTGTAATATTAAAAGTAAATACTGTATTTAAATCGTGATCAAATTTTCAAGAAACAAACGTTCGTATTGAATTTNCCAACACTGCTCGTGACGTTATTTCTCCACACACTCGCTGCATAAAGAAACGCGAGGTTATTATATATACAATACATTGTAGTCTTCAGGATAGAAAACTGGCAACGTTGTGCTTAACTTTTCTCCGTTCTTTATTTGTTTTTATCCGTAACAATTGTTACCATTACTTTTAAGTCTTCGGATTGGTTCGAGAGTTATTTAAGAGTTGGGCCATAGCTCCCGAGCCAACGGTTCGATTTTCCTGAAAATTTCTAGAAACATTTCCCCAAACACGCAAACCTCCCTGCAAAATTTCAGAAATTTACGAAAAAAGGCACAGGAGTTTTTTTTAACTCTTTCCGCCCTGAGGACACTAAGAGGGCCTCTTTTTGCAAGCCCATTACGGGTTCGGCCAGGCCCACAGTGGGGCTGCCGGGTGGTGAGGTATGGGGCTCGACATATTCGAACGGACCACCCCCGAAAAATTCCTGACGATTTTTCGACCCATTCGGATTCGAGTCCGGGTCTCCCAGAGCGGTGGGCTGCCACCTTGACCGCTCGGCCATCCGGTCATCTGCAAATCCACTTGTTAGTATATCATCAATATTTGAAAGAAAAAATATTGATTAAACTATATAAACGTATTTAAAATTGAAAATTTCACCTGCGAAAATTTTTTAAAAATGAAACGCAAGAAAAAAAATTTGATCAGAAATTAATAAATTTTTTATAGCTAGGTTGGCAACACTTTCGTTTATTTGTTTACCGTCTTTTGAGTTTTATGCTTTACGTATGCCGTGTATTATTATTATTTTTTTTCTATTTGTAGTATATTAGGTATGTTATATAAAAAATTAGTTTTATTATAAATAATTATTCATCTTAAAGACATTTTTTAAAATTTCTAGATCACTTCAGAAGTTAAGATGACAGAAGAATTTAGAGAAAATGAGGAAGATATTTATTCCAAAATACTTTCAATAATTATATGGATAAGAAGTTCTCACTTTTATCAGGATTATATTAAACAATATCCATTATTATCTCTTGCATTTATTATGATTTTCCTTTTATCCTTTATTCCAATTTTGACATTTACTTGTTTTGTTTTGGTAACTTCTGTTTTTACAATTGTAGGATTTTTATTTATCGAAGGTAAGTTTAAATTTAAAAATATATAAATTGAATATTTTAGTGATAATGAAACACATTTTTAGTTATCATTTTCAAGTTGAAGTTCTTGTTGATATTTTCTCATCAACAAATTTCAACAAAATATCATTTCTACTAAGAAATAATGGTGACATCTTGCTAGGATTGTAAACTACTCTGTGAGCAAAAAAAAGTCAAAAGAAATAACTCGATGTGTTCTGCTTCAAAGCTTTTATTAATTTGACTTAAGTGAGACAAACACAAAGGGGAAATCGTCTTACGAACGGGGGATATATTCAGTGCTTGCAATTATGTTTTTAAAGTGTATGACTTTTCTGTTAACGAGATGCCTGCCGACGTGTACGGCAACGGGTAAGATTCCAGCTCAGAACGAGGGGTTCTGCGCCGTCCCGGGATTGTTGACCCTTTGTGATATATTCGTTTCCAAAGGTCGGTTTTTAACACGTGTCGGAATACTGCTAATTCTACGTGCTTTGCATACGGACGCCTCGTTGCGTGGGTGGGGGCGAGCCTTCGTACCCACGTAAAACGCTACGACATCGAGTACTCCGCCAACGGGGGAATGGGCTACTTGAAGCTGGCAGAGTCGCGTGGGCTAAATGGTTAAACGTGATATTCTTAGCGGACGGCGGTATTGTATATCGGATTAAAGTTACGACTGGCATCCCGTTAACGGAAAAGAACCACTTTTTGTTTTGTGTTCGTTTCGTCAGTTATTCCAATATAAGACGGTTTAATGCTTGTATTAATACATTTTGCAGTGTGTCAATATTACGTTTGAAAGGATTTATCTGGACTATTAATTTTTTTGGTGTTTTTTTTTGCTCTTACAGACATGGTCTACAACTATGAGGAATTAATATTGTTTTCATACACTGCTATATTTGTATCATTTTTTGAATTTTGCTATATGAAAATTTTTAGCAATTTTTGTAAGTCTCAGTATAGCAGGAACAAGTTGTAGTCTTGCAAAAAAAAAAATGTTGCTTCTGAGCATACAGTACTTTTTTAAGGAATTGTATTCCTTAAGACTACTGATTAAGTTTAGCAAAGATAGAATCTCATTCAGAAACTTCTCTTATCATATAATATATTTTGATAAATGTCACTCATAACCGGAGTCAAAGAGAGTCCATATAGCCTTATGTTTACAGTCTTTCAGAATTTTTCAGATTGTGCTTATTTGAAAATGTTTGTTAAATTACTAAACTCTGAAATATGACTTTTTACTTGTCAGATAAATGTTTGCTTTTCTGATAAAAATTATTTAACAAATAAAAAAATATTTGAGATAATTTTTATTATACTTTATTTGTCATATATTAAATTTAACATGAAAATTTAAACATAATACATATTTAAATTTATGCTCAGTAATATTGATATTTGTACAGTGTTTTCTTATTTTTTAATAATTGCAGTTACACGTGACAAAAGAAATAAAAATAAAAGCTACTTTTTAACAAATAGTATTGTTCTGCAAAGATTCTTATCAATTACTACTGAAAAATTGTTGCATTAGATAAAGTTAGATAAAGAATTACAAAAATATGTGATAATGATTAGTGAATATTATAAAAAAAAATCTAGGATGAATGGCACAGTTATTGACCACTCAAGAAAGTTTTTATTTTAAAATTCTGTGACATAACAAAGATTAAATCTGGAAATATTATACTTATGAATTCTATTACCAATATCTAGAAATTAGAAACACCAATCATTTAATCCAAAATATTCATTGGTTTATAAAAATGCAAAATTATATTTATTGGCCACACTTGACAGGAAAAAACCTGCAAGTTTTCTTGTTATCTACTGGGAGCAGAAATTTGTATTAATATTGCATGGTAATATTTCTAGAACAGCTTTTATAGAACTCTTACTACAGGATTTTAAATTTCAAATGACCAATTACTGCCATTTACCCTATGTAATATATAATAGATACATGTATATAATACAAAATATAAAATTTATTCATAAAATATAATAGACATGCATGCACACTTTTTAACTTGAACTAAAATAGAATAATTTCACTAAAATTTTAAAATTCTATCTGTTAACATCTCATGGATACATGAGTATATTATTAAATAATACACAAAATTCTATACAATTAAAAATTATTTTTTAATGAAAATTTAATCAACTTATGGCTGTGTACACACTAGGTGTTTTGCGTTGCGTTAAATGCGTGTTAGCAGCGTACACACCACACGTTAGCTCGGCGTTAGACGACCGTTTACTGGAGCATACGCACTGGATCAGTTTGGAAATGGATGTGAAAGTAATTGCTTGTGTGCCCCTCCTCCATCGTCGCTATAAAAGACGATGGCAGAGGCAAAGAGAATTTTGGGTGCACCCAATATTATGAGATAGACCAACACATGGAATGTTTGCGACGTTGTATCCAAAACTAAGACAAAATAAACCCAAGTTTTTTAATTCTTTTAAAATATCTATAAAATCCTTTGACAATGGTTGGTCTCTTTTAGATTTCATCAATAAATAGATCAGTATCGAAATGATCGTTCTCCATTTCGGCCAACGTACGTCCACTCTAACCGAAAACACGCGATCGAATGTACAGTAACATGGCAGCACATATATCTCAAAGCGCCCGCAAAATGCGCGTTTTAAGAAAAATCTATAAACGCGCACTTTTGGCCAAGCGTGCGTTTGAGTATGTATGCCAATGCAGAACTCTTGGTTCATCAAATGCGTGTTTAACATGCATTTAAAAACACCTAGTGTGTATGCAGCCGATTTCTGAGAGAATCAAAACGATTTAAAACTTTAACTAGCAGAACCAAAAAATATACTAATGATTTATTGCTGTTTAGCAGGAAACTCTCCTACAGAATTGATATTTATGGCAGTGTAAGAATTTTTTGCTAAACTGTAATTATAAAAGAAATTGATTAGCAGATAGATTGAAGAGAGTTATTCTTGATTTCTCCATACTGTCATCACAAAAATATATATCTTCAGTCATCATATTTGTATTCTGTAACTACCTACTATCTGTAACTATTGGTTTAAAAAGCAGATCATTTATTAAAATTATAACAGTGATCTGACAACAAAGATACAGTTGTTAATTTTATATGGCCTTGATGTTACAGGCATATACAGGATGTTCCAGCAAAATGTTGGGCTTTTAATTCTCAGTATCTTCTGTGATACAAAATGTGATACATGTGACTTCATGTGATACAAAATAAATTTTTAAGTAGCTTAATGAAGAGAGTTGAAACTCGTAATAAATGTAACTTTTCCCATAAAATATTAAAATTGATTCTATCGAACGCCTTCTCCAAATCCACAAATATCGGATAGATTTTGTCTTTTTCTTGACAGGACATACTGTATTAAAGCATTAAGTATAAAGATGTTGTACATAGTACCTTTTCCTCTAACAAATGCTCCTTGAAACTGGGAGATACCATTAAATTCTATTATACATTGATTCAAATAATCTGCCAAAATTCTGGTGAACAATTTTCTAAAGGTATTTAACAATGCTATTGGACAATAGTTTTGAGGATTTAGTTTGTCTCCTTTCTTGTAAATCATTTGCAACAACATATTTTTCCAATGCTCAGGAAATTTTGATGTTTCCTTAACCTTGTTAAAGAGTTTGAGTAATTCTAAACACATTTCTTTGGGTAAGTATATAATAAATTCATTTTTTATGCCATCCATATTGGGCTGATTTTCTTTTGAGTTTGTGAATTGAAGTTTTTAACTCAGAAAGTGAAATTGTATGATCTAAAATAGGAGAGACATTATCACGGTCAAAATCAAGAATTGAATCAGAACTTGGATGTCAAAAGTTATATTATAAAAAACATTATGAAGAGGAATTTGATTATAGGATTTCTTTCCCCTATTAAATCTATTAACAATAGACCAAAATTGTATATAAGATCACTCAGACTGCAACTGTCTATTAATTCAATTAGAAACTTCAGACTAGGAGGCGTTAAAGAGAATTAAGAGGAATATTTTAATCTTGCAAGCACTTTCAACAAAAATATGTATACGTCGTCCTCAGGCAATTCAAAATCCTCTTTTTGATTTTGAATTGCCTGAGGACGACGTACATATTTACGTTGAAAGCGCTTGCAAGATTAAAATATTCCTTTTAATTCTCTTTAATGCCTCCTAGTCTGAGTTTCTAATTGAATTAACACAACTGTTGGCGTGACATCCAATCCAAGTATTTAATATACTGTCTACTAATATTTGACCAGTAATTCTTTTTAGTCTTGCCTAATGAATGAAAGATTGCTTTAAAATCACAATATTTTATTAAATCTTCATTATTATGGGATATTCAAAATTCCTATGTTCTGTTCTTTAGTTTCTTCGCTGTTCTAAAGTCTCTGTCAAATCAAACTGAAGATGGTAATTTCGTATGTTGTCATTCTACATTGTTCAGCTGAGGACTTAATTAAATTTAGAATTGCAGAATATCTGTCCTCTATTCCATCACTTAAGACAATATTTACATATTTAGCCAAAACTTTCAAAATATAAACTGGATTTGTCTTCTTTCCAGATTAGTCCTTTTTTTCTTTTCAATCAAGTTAGATTTTCTATCCTCGTCAGTGTCTGTCAGGATTTCAGAAATTATCAAATGATGGTCAGACATATAATCTTCAGAAATAAAAAATTTATGCAATCTCTCTACCAGACACTCACTCAAAATTAAGTACTGAAGCACCCAGTTTGGATGTATAAGTGAAGTCTGCTGATGATTCAAAAGGGTATTGACCATTTATTATGTATAAATTATTATTTCACCAGTTCAATAATTAAATTTCCTCTTTTATTGTAAATTTTATCATTTGATAGTCGGATGTTTGAAATTAGATCCCCATGATAAATAGTGTCCATAGTCAAGCCAATTTGTGCATTAAAATCACCCATCAGCAGAAGATCATAATCTGAAGTATAAACAGAAATCAAATCTTCCAATTTTGCAATTAAAGTTTCAAAGATAGGTATATGAAGATATGCCAATATAACTATCATTTCTCATAGCCCTTTATTTTGCCTCCGGTTAAATTTCACTCTAAACTCTTACTGGTTAAATTTCACTCTTAACAACCATTATATGTTGCCATGACAGCAGCAAGTTCACTTCCCCCAGATCTTCGTTTATACCTAGAAGTAATCCGCCCGATCTCAGCACCAACCTGCAAAACGTCAGCCATCAGTCGAACTCCCCTGCCTTCCAGCCTAATAATCATGTAAAAAAGGCAGAAGTTTTTTCTGTTTCAGTCTTGAATGCCATAGATCATCAAAAATTTGTATATTCTTCAATGCATCGTTAGCCTTTATCTTTCTAATGTTACCAAAAATTAATTTCTTGTCTGCAAGTGGCTGTAACTCCACCAATACAGTATCTGATTGGTTAAATTTCACTATCTTACCTGTTGGAATTGATTTTGATTCACTTATCAGTTTAGAAAACAGGTTTTGCACTTTCCTATTCAAATCAGAACTCAAACCTCGGTCATCGGTCAAACCTTTAATTAAAATATTTTTCTTTCTCATTTCATTCGACACCTTGTCTATAGAATGCAAGATAAAACTATTTTTCTGCTGCATGTCATCTTTAAGTTTGGAAATTTGTTCCAATTTAACCTCCAACTGTGTTAGTCATTGGTCATGTTCATTATGTAAATTAACCAACTAGTCAATCATCATAACAACCTCATTTAAAGTCAAAAAAATCTTATCAAATTGGTTGTCCAAATATAATCTTAAGTCTATTTCTAAGTAAGAGTAAGGAATAGACTTACTTGAGTCTAACTTTGAAGAGAAAAAATCTTCCAGTCTTGCCAACTTCAAGGAAGGTTCGCTCAGAGAACATCTTTTTACTGTAGATGCCGATGATTGAATCTGTGAATGCGGTGGAGTACAATCAACAGGACCAGGATTTAATTCTATCTCACTTAGTATTAGCAACAATTCAAACACTGTTATCTAAAATTCAATATTTTCCATAATTTTAAAATTCAAAAGAAGCTCACAAAAAGTTCACCAATGCTTTGCAGCAAGCAGTGCACCCCATTATTATTATTTAAATGATTTTCATTGTAAATTATATTTTATATATACTGTATTTATAAATTATGTATGTATAAGTTGAGTGTTGAACACAAGATTGTGTTATCAATTAAACACTTGGCTTTTTTCCATCTTTATTCAGCTGAATAAAGAGGGAAAAAANATTATTATTATTTAAATGATTTTCATTGTAAATTATATTTTATATATACTGTATTTATAAATTATGTATGTATAAGTTGAGTGTTGAACACAAGATTGTGTTATCAATTAAACACTTGGCTTTTTTCCATCTTTATTCAGCTGAATAAAGATGGAAAAAAGCCAAGTGTTTAATTGATAATACAATCTTGTGTTCAACACTCAATAAATAGTAAAACACGGTTTCAGAAAACAAATATGTATAAGTATTGTAAATTTACTCTAACACTTGAACAGAAAAATTCACCATAAAACCACTTACAAAAATATGTATTTGATATATTTATATATATCAAATACGCAATTATAAGGGCAATCATAAATAGGAATTTTTCAAAGATAAATAAATTACAAAAAACTGAAAATAAAATAAATATGCTATTTTCTTAACTTCAGCAGCAGGTTGTTCATATATTATTTCAGTTTTATCATCTTTCACAGTACAGTAGAATGTCATTTAACTGAAATTGACTTTAGAAAATATTAATTCTAGAAATTTTGAGGCTTTTTGACAATAATAATTGTCTGTAATTTTTTGTAGACTCTTTATTGAGTTATTTTGTTATCAGCACTATTAGGTAGTAATTATTATATTACAAATAGAAAATTAAGATTAAGTCACAGGCTTCTTCTAATGCATTAAATTTCTATGCCTGAAATTTTTTTATTGTACTAGAATTTTAATTAATATTTATAATTTATTTCATGTATTTATTATTTTATTCTTTCCCTAACAATTGTGATCAGTTATCTGAAAAATTGATTAATCAAAATTGTCCTGACCCAATTATTTCATATAATTGATGCTCTACTGTATTATTTTAAAAATATTTATTTATTTATTCAACTTTTGAGGCGATAAGATAAATATTGGATTTGATATTAGTTATATGATATTGTATGATAAGATTTCAAATTATTTTTAATGGCTTCAAAATGAATCTCTGAAATATCGCACACTTTGTTTTAAAGGTTTCGGCAGTGTAATATTGCTCGTGATCACAAAATATTTCTCTAATGCATTTATAAAAAGTTTTAGGAATAAAAAATAAAAATTTGACCTTACTACAGACTGCTCCATTTTGAGCCAAACTCATGATCATGAAAAGAAGCTATCTTAGTTCCCATAAGGCAGGAAGAATTAAGAGGCTTTTATTTATTTATTTCCTTTATATCGAACTCTTCTATGAACCAGAGCTCCATTTTATATGATTTCATAAAAATTAATAATTCTTATTTTAATGGAGAAATAGGAAACATTTTTAAAATTCTTTCTAACTGTGGATACTAAGAAGGCACGAATTTATAAATTTAATTTAAAACTAATTGATTTTGTTTAAATGTTTTATTTATAATGGTTTACATATTTTCCTTAGGTACATTACTTACAGTAGCCATTGTCTTACTAAGTGGAATATTATTTTCAATCGGAATACTGACTGCTGCATTTACGATGTGTATGGGTGCAACTTGGTTTTTTGTTTATAAAATTCGCACTTTTATTAATTACGGACAATTTGTTTTGTTTTCTAACCATTGTGAAAAAGTATCAAATAATAAAGAATTTTTAAAATCAGATTCAAATGAAATAAAAAAGGAATCTTCGTAATAAATAATAATAATAAAAATTCAGAAGTTTTGGGAATATTTTTTGCATTACAATAAAAGATTTTAAAAATATCATTCCATAATATATAAATTTGTAATTTTATAATTTTGTAACATATTTAAGGTAACATTTTTGTTTTATTAATGATTTTGTAACATAATCATTGTTGTTCAGGTTGTGATTAGAAAGTATGTTTTTTAAAATATAAATTGTTTTAATATTTTGAAATAAATGTTGTAAAATAACAGTTTTGTCAAAATAATAAATATTATATTTTGAAAATTTGTTAATTGGAAATTTATAAAATTCAAATGATAGAATCACTTTTTATATTTCCTTGACCATCTACAGTAGCTCTTTATTCTCAAAACTGATGAAATTCAAGTTATTAGGGTAGTGCACATTTTATTAAATTCATATCATTTGTCTAGACCAGGGGTTACCAAACTTTTTCATAGCGAGCCATATAACTGAAAGAATGACAAGCACAGGCCGCATAACTATTTTGTTCAATATATTATACTGAATACACAAAAAAATAAAGAAAACCAATATATTTATTTACTAATATACTAAGATAAATTATCTCTGCAGCAAGCTCGTATTCGCTTTCCTTAGAAGCTTCATTGCTGGTACTTACACAAAAGGCACCCTGATATCCAAAGTTGCCGAATTTTTCATTTCACTGATTTTCCTAAAAATTATATTACTGTCAAATGCAAAAATCCGATTGGACCAATTTTGGCATTTTTACTTACACTTACTGTGTAGAAAAAAATTAAAATAAGTTTATCTACAATCTATTATATTTCCAAATAAATAATTATATTTTAGCTCATTTGTGGCACAGTGCAGTGGTGGGCCGTAGTTTGGTGACCCCTGGTCTAGACTGATGATTCTAAAACAAAAGGGATAATTTCAGAATTAAATATGTAAAAATGATGGCTAGATGGCGAAGGCAGTTGAGGAATTAAGTGGCTACAGCCCAGTTTCTCAGAGCAGCAGAGACCCTTTCTACTGCTCTGAGCAACTACATTTAACTTTGAGTTAAATGTTCAGAAATTTTTACAGGTGAGCTAGCCCTCTCAACCACATGATTGCAAGTAAGGATATCCCAATATTGCTGATACTGTATCAATACTTTCCTTCAATACCAAGTACTTTTTGTACTTGATACTTTTGGTCCAGTACTGATATCAGTATTAATACTTTTCCTTGGGTATCAGATCTGATATTGCTACATTTTTTACAGAGAGGTAAGGTCCGATGATTTTGCAGCCGAATCAGAAACCGAAATGGAATTTTACTCTATTTTGGTTAAGATAAACTTATAAAAAGTATTAATGACCAAAATCAAAAAATGTATTAGGTCAAATTTCATTTTCAGAATCTATATAAGCTTAGAATTCTAATTACTATTTATAAATAAATATTTAGTTAAATGTTATGCAGTACTTTTTGTTTGTTAATAAACTCGGACCATCAGTGATATTTAAAATGAGCTACAATTTGTATGTACGTTTTATCAAGTGAAGTTTTAATGTCCAATGTGACTAATATATCATTATATTAGTCTTGGTTAGAAAGTGGCAGAACAATGTAATGATATATTATCAGGTCAGTCAATAAGTTCATGTGTATTTTATGACCTTGAGAAAAATGGTGTTTTGCTGTTAAAATTGTCAGTCTAATGTGATACTTTTTACACTGAAGTGTTAAATTGGAGCTCATTCATATAATACTGTTCAGAATTGGGAACATTTCAGTTGTTTATTTTCTTTAAAATGGAAGTAACAGATGAATATAAGAGACATGTTTTATACTTTTTATTTTTAAGTGATGAGAATGCTACAAATGCAGCCAAAAAATTAAATACTGTTCATAATCAAACTGTAATTAGTGTAAGGACTGCGCAGAAGTGGTTTGAAAGATTTAGAAATAATGATTTTAGTGTGGAGGATAAGGCTCGTACTGGAAGACCTGTTGACTTTGATGATGATGCTCTCTCTGCACTAGTTGAAGCAGAACCATCTTTAACAGTTGATGAAATTGCGGAACGTTTAAATTCATCCCATGGAACTGTTCATAGACATCTACAACAAATCGGAAAAGTTTCAAAGCTAGGAAAATGGATACCACATGAACTGTCAATAGCTAACTGACAACAACGTCAACTGCTCAACTCAAAAGCTTCAAGGGAAATTTTACCTTATCCACCATATTTGCCAGATATTGCTCCCAGTGATTATCATCTTTTTCGGAGTTTGCAGAATTTTTTAAAAGGGAAAACTTTTGAGGATGAGAACAATGTAAAAAAGGCTATTTCTGAATATTTTGATTCAAAACCAAAATCATTTTACAAAGACGGGATTTAAAAGGCTACCATCAAAATGGCAAGAAATTGCACAAAATAATGGTGAATACATTATAGATTGAAATAAGATTTAATTAAAATTTTTTGTTGTTTTTTTTTGTAGATAAAAATACGCACAAACTTATGGACTGACCTGATAGTTACATTAAACATTACAATTTCACTTGATAAAAATTTGCATAAGCTTCCCTGAAAAAAACAAAAAAACAATTTTTATGTTTTTATTGTATGTACTTGTTTGCACTGACATTTGTAAAACTTGAACACAATAAAGAACTTTCAATGTAAAGACATTGTTTTACCTCTTCACTAAGGATTTCTTATCCATCCTTATCCCATGTGTAGTAGTATCCATTAGCAGGACTGTACAGTACATCTGGGACTTTTGTGTACAGTACATCAGACATCATATGAGTGTAAACTGAAGAACTGACTGACACTGATTTCTGAACCAGATAGCAGGAATTCCCTAATGTAAGCAACAAAATATTAAATGTAAAGAAAAAATTCTAAAAAAATCCAGGATGAAATATAATTTTTAAAATATATTGTAAAAAAATACAAATAATAAAGACATATAAATAAAAGTATTCTTGTTGTTCCCTGTGATTGTGAAAAGGATGACAAGGAAAACTGCAAGAATATTTTTATTTGTATAAGTCTTTATTATTTGTATTTTTTACAAAACATCTTAAAAAAGTATTAATTGTTGCTCTGGGATCCACTCAGCCTTCATTGTAATGAGTATAGTACCTTTTCAGCAGTAAACACTGGAAGGCGATGCAACACTGGCAAGATTTCCAATTTCGATACTCAATGCTGATACTGGCCAGTATTGATACGTTAAGACCAATACTGATACCACTATTAAGTTAATACTTTAAAACTACTCACGATACCAGTATCGGTACTTTTGTGGTATTGAGACATCCCTAGGCTCTGGTCATATGTATCATATGACCAGATGTACCATATGACATGTCATATATACAATTTGACACTATATGATTTTTCTTCATAAAAATGTAAGGATGATCTAATCACAGTGTTCTGTCAATATGAATGAATCTTATAAGATTTTGCTTTAAGTTAATGGCTCATGGACCTCTCAGCTCAGAGAGCACTAAGAACTAAGTTATGTTGTTAATATGTATTCACTAGTCCTATAACTAGAAACTTTATGTAGTGTTTGAGAGTGCTAATTTTATACTTACCAGCTTATGTATTAATCCATAAACATACATATAAAGTAAGATGGGATAGGAAAAGTGCATTAGTCTGAAACTTTTTTCTGGTTTGTCCAAAGCTGTGGAAGAAGAGAACAGGAGTGGCTAAATCACTTAAAAGTGATTCCAACAATTTGGAATAAGTTTTAATTTTGTTATTAAGGGATTTAGCAATTCATCACAAAGATGACTTGCCAGAAGAGTGCCTAATGGAGGATTGGATGGAAACTGGCCCCTATTCGGGTGTGACACTTAGAGGAAAACTGGAAAACTGTATGCAACCAGACTCAAAATTTGACCAACTACCAGTACAACAGGTAAATGTAAGTAGTGAGAATCAGAAAGAGGGAACCGAGTATAATATTGCCTTCGTTCAGCCGATAAGGAACTCCGAAATTATCGGGATAGTTGTGGATACGAGGAACACGGGACAAAGTTAGGGGCCGTTCATAAATTACATATGCATTTTTCGCGAAATTTTTACTCCCCTCTCGTTCCAGTTTGTCCAGGTTTCCATAACCACCTCCCCTCTTCACACGTCTAACAAAACTCAACCTTAAAAATCTTTATCACGTTATTAATTACAGATACCATAATAGAAGTGATGAAATTAATTTGCTCTTATAAAATTGCAGCCATTATAGTAAGTTTTAAGCGTTTTCCATAATACCTCAATCACAAAATAAAAGCATTATCTTCGGAACCATAAGGAAATAGAACAGCATTCTTCACAGGTTACCCTTTTCATACTGTGGTGTTTCGTTGCGACAAGTACAATGTCCCGCGAGCGGAAAGGTACGTACACTTTGGATGTATTGAACACAAAGATATTTATTGTCACTTCGAAACAGGTTCGTTTCTTCCAGATCCCAACAATACAATGATCACTGTACGTACAGGCGTTAAAATTCGATCTAACAAACAGCGGATTAATTGAGGGTTACGACTATACGCGATACAAAAACTTACAAATAATTCTTACACTACTTATGACTAAAAAGGAAAAAAAAAAAGGAGAGTAGAGAAATAATAAAGTATAAGAGGGAGAAGGAAATACCCGGGACTTTGAATTCGAAACCTTGGGTGGAACACCACGTGGACCTTTCCGTGGAACGTTGTCTCTCGTCCTTCCTTTATGTCTTTTCGTACGATTCTTTCGATGGCTTCCTCTAAAATTCTATTATAAGAGTTTCTTCCTATCGATTCGCTGGCTCCTCGTAGCTTCTAATTGTTTTACACTCAATCTGACGCTGCACCACTTCTCCGTCCTTATTCTACGGACTTCGAGCCCAGACTTCTCCTTTAGCTTCGTAGTCTCCGATCGTCTCACACGCGATCCAGAGCACTACCTTCTCTCGTCAGTCCTCCTCGAGAGTTCCACCT